ATCTCCCTCCTCCCACTCCTTGGTTCCAAAACACAGTGGTGTTACTGGAGACAGGCAGTCCTGGGTGCGGCTGCTATCTTGCCTCTTGATGAAAGCTTCTGGATCCTGCCAGCAGGTTTAGCTTTCTCAAGGATTATGGTTTTCTCATTCCCTCTTCTGAGATGATGCAAGCCTAACAAGTCTGTACCTCTAATTTTGTTCCCACCCATTAGTCTCCTGTCAATGCAGGCTGTCAGGAGCTGTCTCACACCTTGTTTTCAGGCAGCATGTAGCACAATGAGCTCTCAGCATTGACCGAACTGCAACGCACTTTTGAAAAAATAAAGTATAGCAAACAATTTTTTTAAAAAGTCAGTAATAAGAAGAAAAGCATGCAAGTGTATAACTTTCCTGTCCAAAACAGTTCTGAAGTGTGAAAGAACTGTTGTGGCTCTGACCAACTGACAATCTGTAAAACAAAGGCCATTTTATCACAGTTGTTATTTTGTTAAAAATCATCTCTTGATTTAAAGAATGAAAGTGTTGGAGCTTTCAGCACATCTCTAAATAGCTCATTCCGATAGTTAATCATTTGCACTATTAAAAATGTTGCCTTGTACTGCTATTCTAAATCTATTCTACTTCTGCTGTCATTGTGCTTGTTTCTAGCAGCCTGAAGATTAACAGAGATCTCTTGAGCCTGAAGGCTGTGATAAAGTGCCAAAGGATGTAGCCTCTGCATTTTATTAATTTAATTCAGTATTTTATGCAATGCATTTGTACTTCTTGGTTTTCAAGGTCCCTATCAGACTCCCACTGTTCAAGTTTTTGTATAAACAAACCCAGAACCGGTCCCTGTCGTAACGGTGTTATATCACCCAAAGAGCAGCATGTTTGGGTGTTTCACTGTTCCCAGTTGTCACTCTTCCTCTGACTGTGCACCACAGACAACCTCCTCCATAATTTTATGTCTTAAATCTCCCCGTCTTTTTGTCTTCTGATTTCAGCTGTGACATCACTTCGACATCCACTGGCTGCTGTGGACAGAAACCATGAGAGCAGCCAGGAGGAAAGGCAAGTGGGGAAGGGAAGTAGCCAGATCAGCATCCCTGGCAGTTTGAGGTAGTTAGTGGCCTCCCGCTGGCCCACCGTTGTTTGTGAGCATCATAACAAAAGGTAACCAACAAAGCAGTCCCACTGGCACCAGACCATTCCTCACCAGCATGGGGGGCACCATGGGGAAGGCATGAAGACCTCTGTGTAAACACCTAACAAGGAGGCAGCAGAGACTGGCATCGAGCATGTTGCTAAGCTGTTCCCTGAATAGTTTATTGTCTTTCTGCTCTCCTAGCCTCTGAATCTTTTAGCAGGAAAATTATTTCATTTCTGTTTTTCTCCCTGGCTCAGCACTGGGCTCCTTTCCCAGACCAAATTTTTAAGCTAATTTTAAAAAGAGACTCTTTCCTCATGAGACAGTGAGGAGGCAGATGTGCTCTCTGACATGCCATGGCGTGTCTGCTGGCACTGCCGTGCTCCAAGTCCAATCTTTGGTATCTCCACTGAATCAGATGATGTCTCTCCAGTGGGACTACTTGCCCTTGGAAACACTTTCTTCTTCCTTTCCTTCTCAGAAGAATGGGACAGACACGTACAGTACGGGGGTCCTGCCCAGAGGTTACGGTAGGAGACAGAAGATCCAGTCCAGAAAAATATTTGGAGCCAAGAATGTTTTGAAAGACTAGACTAGAGGGGTCAGGCATGCGAGGAGAAAGATTTGCTATTTGTAGCAAAGCCAGTGTCAACCGTGTGAACAGAGAGAGAAGGCTGGAGGCACAGTGTGGGAAAGCAGGCAAACAAGCCCAACAGCTTCTTAGTGGCTAAAGGGTTTGAATGCTGGTGTGTTTTTCAGGTTTGTTTTGCAGGGAGGTATTCTTTTCCTTGAGACATTGGACTTGGTGCTTGAGACCCTTGTGGAAGAGGAGGACTGGTCATCCACGTTATATCAATGAAGATGGATGAAAACCTTTCATTCTCCTTTCCCCCTCCTCCTCCTCATGTTTTCTCCTCATTTTCTTGTCACAGAAGGAGACAGATTTCCTCAGCTTGCTCTGATCTCCTCAGTTGACCCTGGATTTCCTCACACCTATTTCCATTCATTTCCCTTCTTAACCTTTCCTTAGTACCGCAATTTATGAGGAATGCAGATCACCCTCAACCCTAATTTTTGCCCAATATCATCCTTTTCCTCCTGGTCAACACCATTTGCTGGATCCATACCTCTTTTCTTGTCCTTCCCTCTCTCCAATCTCTCTGTCTTTAACATCTTTTCCCTGACGCACTTTATCTCTGGTATGCCTTGCAAACTCTGTGTCCATACAGTCTATTGCCTACAGCCTCTCTTGTCCTTCTCCACAGCCTGCCACTGGGAGATCACTTTTCTCAATTGTCCCTTTGACCCCATCACCTGCCTCTTTGCATCATCCTTGGGCTCCCTCTCCTCCATCACATCAAACATAAGGTGCTTGCCTGCACTGCTGGCACTGCTGGGGTTGTTGCACTGTCACCCCTCGGTGGGTTTGGAGGAGGCAGCCCCTGTGAGGCCATGCGGCTGCTGCCAGCTCATGCTGCCCTCTTCCAACACTGTGTATTTTCCCAGAGCCCTTCTGCTCCCATCAACAGCCTTAGGGCTGTTTTGGATCTGATATTAATATTCCCTTTTGCATCACTCCCTACAAGCATCATTCCCTGTGATGCCTATGAAAGCGTGTGATAGCAGACAAGCTACTGGAGCACTGAGTAATCAAAACCTGTGATTAACTCCATCTTATTGTGTTTGACTCCTTTGTCTGTCTGTGGTCCCTTGGATGAGAGCGTGATCTTCCCAGGGCAGGCAGTCCTTTAGACTTTATCTTCCCAGCACCATGAGTGCCACTCCAGGAGGATGTCACCCAGTCTCTTTAATAATAGGGGTGTTAGCAAGAATGGAAAAAAAAAAAAAATCCAGCTCCATGTTCAAGGGTCACAAAAGCTATCTTAAATTAGATAGAAGCTGCAGAAGAGTATCTCATGGAGAGAAAATGGAATTGGGTATGGAGGAATGAAGCTCCATGCTGGCTTTCACATTGATGCTCTTCATATGAGATGAGAGCCTGAGGCTCTTGCTCTTCAGGCTGAGTCAGGCGTTATGCATTTGCTGGCAAACACTGAGCTAAATAGGCAGGCAGACCCCAGCCTCACAACCTGAAAGGAAAGAGCTGTTCAGAGTTCCCAAAAAGCAGATAAGAAGCCCTTGAGGCTCAGAAGACAGCTTGGGGCTGTGCATCCCAGTGAGACAGAGGTACCACATTGAGGGAGGAGGTTGATGCACAGATTCAGGGCAGAGGCAGGATGTCCGCGTTTCCTGGTGGAAGTCATCAATCTGCTCAGCATGCTGGTCACTGTCATGCTCATCTTGAGACACCTCATGCTGCCTTTTTGTTGGTTTGGGACCATACCTATCCTGGGGTAATGTGTGTCAGTCTTGGAGTGGGGTGTTTAAAAGCATTGCCCAGCCTAGGCTTGCCTGCAGACCAGGGCTTACCATGCGTGTGAAAATCTTTTCCTCTGCTGCCCAGGTAATTGCAAGCCTGGGATCAGACAAACGTCTAATAACTAAGGTTTAGCTTCAGTTCTTGATTTCCCAGGAGCCTTTTTACGTCCAGGAAAATGAAATTTTAAACCTGTCTTTTGGAACTGCTGTGATCAGGTCAGGCTGTGTCTGTGCTTTCAGTTCCATCATCTTTCCTGAACATGACTAACTCTTTCTATCAGGGCTGGGTGACCATGCATCCGCCTGGACCAAAACCAAGCCCACTTACTACATTCCTGTTGTTCCCCAGCCTGTCCAGCCCATCTCTGTCTCCCACAGCTGATAACACCACACCAAGAGATGCAGATGTATTTCTTTGCCTTGATACTTCTAGAAGTCATCTCTGAGTACAGAAATTGTAGTCTTAGAGTCCAGTCTATTTTTAGGACTTTTACAGGCTCCTTCTCTCACCTCGGGCACGCACTTTAACCACCCGCTGTCCCATTTCATCATGTGCAATGTAGACTACTCCTACCTCACCTGCAAAATACTTGTGGGTTAGTAGCACGTGATGATTTTTGCTTGGAAATCACTTTAATGGTATAAACCAGCTTTGTCTAAAAGGGACTGGTGCCTTGTTGGCACCCAGGATTTTTTAAGGTTGTTGGCAACACATCTGATCATATCTAACATCCTGAGTGGGAAATCACACATTTTCTTGACTCTGAGGAACTGCTCTGTAGTCTCCTTTCCGTCCCCACTATCCTGAAAACTTTTATTTTCTCAGTCACTGAATGAATACATCCTTTACCCAGCAGTGGCTCTGCTGATCACAAACTCAGAGGAGTGGTTTCATTCCCCTTAGGTAGATTTTGGTGTTTTTTTCTGCTACTTCTATAGGTTTGGTCAAAGTTTTCAGGGGTGGGTGTTGATTAGAGTTATGCGATCTTCATCCTTCTGTCTCTTGTTAATCTCTCCCGAGGGAGGGTCTGCCAAGGTGAGGGGATGCTGCTCCACGGGAGGGTTTGGGGTGCCCATTACAGCTCCCAGAGAGACGAGAGGAGAATGCCGTTCGCAGATGCCTTTGCAGCATGTGGGTGGTGACATGTGGCTGGCAGCAACGGTGGTGACAGACACCCCAAAAAGGGGCAAAGTGGGTTCCCAGCAGTGCCGATATCCTGCCGCTGCTCTCCCTCTCCTTCTCCCTTTCCCTCCCCCTTAGCCAGGCTCATGGCTGAAGAGGGCAGCTAACACCTTCTTCGGGATGGTGAATCTGACTTTGCAGCATCCCCCCTGGCAGCCCCAGTGAGATTTCTGGCTGCGTCAGCCAAAATTCCTGCTGGGGACTCTGCTGCAATGCAGCACACCACACCCCCGCCAGCGCTGAGCCCCAGCCTGGACAGCCAGTGCTGCTCAGCTCTGGCCCCACACTGCCGTAAGCATCCCTCCTCCTCCTCCTCCTCCTCCCAGCGAGCCCTGATGATTTCAGGTTGCTTGGCATTATCTCCTGCGGGCAGTTGGCGTCCACAGCGTGTGTCAGCACAGCCCGGCACACGTTCGGTTTCACAACGTGCTGCCTGCAGAAAGCGCTGGCTCCCTGGAGGGATCGGCTGTGGTTTCGTATTTCATTTCCCTCGCATGCTACACCCGAATTCCAGACACTTTCTGGCTTCTGTGCTGCATGGACTCAGAGCACAGGTCCTTTGCCGTACCCAGCGGAGGCAGACGGCGCTTCCCTCGGCTCCAGGGAGCGGACCATGAAGACGTCAATTGTATTTTTGCTTTGCGTCTCAGTTTTCCCAGGCTTTTCCCAGGGCAGAGTTGTTGGAGAGGATGAAGCTGGTTTTGCTGAGTGTAATGTGTTCTTCCCTGGACAAGTCCCACCCGAGGGATTTACGAAGCCGTTCCACGTGAAAATCTGTCAGCAGTACAACAAAGAGCCGCGCTTTGCAACCCTCTACAGTACTAAGGACAAAATCCCACTTTATTCAGCTTTTAAGTATACAAAGTCAGCCCAAAATGAGGAGGAGAACTGGCTGGTTGAACCCCAGGTAAGTCAGCTTTTCCTTCCCTGTAAAGCAAATGTTCCTGGAGACTGTTTCCCCTGGGGTGAAGCCAGGGCTAGGATTTTGCAAAGGAGGCGGGAGTTCTGCTTGTTGAACTTCTTTTGATATTAATTTAACATGAGCAGAGCTTATTTTTGTGCTTGGAACTGAGCAAACAAACAGTTCCTTGTCCCACAGGGCTTTTAATGAAAGCTGGGAGGGGAGAGGAAAATCCTCTTTGACACCGGCTGATGTGCCTGTCCTGCCCAGCGAGCTATCAGGGGCAGGGAGCACTGCCGGTGGGTAGCAGGGTTAAACATCACAGTGTCAAGTCGAAGTTTGTTCTGTTGCCAACATGATCGCAGTGTTGATAAGAGCATTTTAGCTTCGCTGCACAGGGATAAAACATCCATTTGCGGTTCACCAAATTGACGCTGCAGCTTTTTGTTGAGTCCCTGTGTTGCAGACTCCAGTAGGGAAGTGAGTTGCCATATCCTGGAGCGTGCAGGCTTCAGTCAGGTCAGAAGTGTGCAGGATAAAATTAATTTCCCCTGCAGCCTTGGTGGTTTTTGTCTCCCCTGACACTTGGCATGTGTAAGCAAGTCCTTCAGGCTGTTAAATATACAGGAAATATCCTTAAAAATTTGCTGGTACCCTAAGAGAACATGTATGTTTTACTGCTCTTGGTTTTTTTTTTTTTTTGCTTTTTGTTTTTTTTTCACATTTCAGGTTTTTCAGCAGTGATCACAGGGAATTTGGTAGCAAATATCAAGCTACCCCCATCTATTAATCCCAGGAAAGATTGGCAGTGTGTGAGGGTGCTGCTTCAGGGCGGGAATGGCTGCAGCATCGGAGCAGCATGTTGGGAGTGGGGCCCTCGGGTGCTGAAAGTAGCCAGAATCAAAGCTCACCCCTGTCCCAAGAGAGTCACTGCCGTGCTCATTTTCCTCTTGTGGGGTGATGAGATACTAAAACCATGAGGTCACAGGCAGTGAAGACTTGAGATCCTATATCCCTGTCTTCACCTTGGACTGTCTCCCTGCTCTCTGGGCTGGGTTTTGGGTTGCAGGAGTTCCCAAGGGCCTTTTGGTCTGCTCTCCTTCCACTTCACAGATGGCTGTGGGAAGTGTCTGCTTGCCCTTTTAAAACAGAGCAAAGCTTTTTGTAGACTGCCATTATGGTGTTGAGGAAGGGTGATGAATTTTTAAAGCACAAAGAGGACCTAGGTGACTGAGCATCTGCTGTCACCACTGTGGAGGCAGCAAGGCAATGTGGCAGAGATGAGATCCTTTCTCATTTGCCTTAGCTGCTGATGCCCTTTGTCACCTCTAGCCACCATATCTCCTACTCCTCATGGTCTGACTCACCAGACCTGCCCAGTCAGGCTTGAAAGATGTTCCTGCCATGGAGCAGCAGGCAGCCCCTCCGCAGCTGCTTCAGTTCTCCAGCACATACCTCCAGCTGGCTCCCCTGCCCTCCCCACTCCATCCCTCTTCACCCCTCACATTGTCATCATCCCTTCCAGCACTGCAGAGCCCCAAACCTTCTGTGTCCTGCCTCCAGATTGCTCCACAGCCACAGAAATAATTGGCCAGGTGCTACCTTTAGTTGCTCTGGCTTCTCCAGAGGATCCCCATCGGTTGCTGTGGGTCTGTTCTCAGTTTATACTAATGAGTCCCCTTCACCCACTGCTGAAATGCAGGTGTCTCAGAGGTGGGAGGTAGCAGCTCTGCGGTTCACTGAAGGAACCTCAGTCTGACATAGAAAACCACTAGAAAAAAAATTATCTGAAGAATCTGTAATGAGAAGAAATCAGGACTACGAAAAATTCCTATAACTCAAGAAATAAGCACATACACCTGTCTCAGACACCACCGTGCTGGATCTGGGGGGAGAAGGTGGGGAAGAGATTTCATACCCATTATGTGTGTTCCTATCAAGGCTAGGTCAGATGGTTAGGAAAGGTCAGATGGTTGCTGAAGGAAACCCTTAACAACACCCACTCTGCAGCATATGCTCATGAGGTTATATTGCCTATTTTCTGGGTAATTTTCTTGCTAAGACAGGGATAGCTGGGTATGAGCAGGCTCAGCTGCACAGCGTCATGTGCACGCACGTGGAGATGCAGAGACACAGGAAGCAGAAAAAAATCGCTATAAAAACACTCTCTACACTCTGGTGAGGCCCTCAGGGTTGCCACATGCTTTTGTTTTTGGGTAATGATGTAAGTGGTGAGGGCACCATCTCACTCCCTGCATGCCTACCTCCTCAGGAATGTCTGTCTGAGAAACAAATGCCAAATGTAGCAGAGTCAGTAATTGGGTGAGAAGTGCGAGGAATGTTAGCGCCACCCACTGCCGATTGGCAGCTGGAAACAGTGAATTAATTCAGCAATTAGTGAAAAATTAGAGAGCAGGTGAGGTAGGCTGATGGGATGGGCACTGATGGGTCTCCCCCAGGCTTGGATCTGAAAACCTGCTCTGCTGCAGATTTCCCAGGGGTTAAGAGAAAGTCACTTAGGTGGCTTTCACCTCATTTCATTTCAGTTGTCTGAAAACCCATGGTTTTGACTCTTTCTATAGCTTAGAGAGAGATGGAAGACTCTGGGGTTTCTTTTTCTGTCCTAATGTATGACAGGCTGGATGAATCACCTTGTGTTTTCATTTGGTTGATGACTACCACCAGCCAAATGAGCAAGGTGGGATCTGCGTCGCCCAGCTATAACTACCTCTGAGCTGCTCTTGCCATCTCTCTTGGTAGACAGTCAAGAGAAACAGGTACTTCTAGAGCCACTCATGTGAATGTCCTACGACAGAAACCTCGGCATAAGATGCACTGTGCCACCTCCCTGCGACCTGTACTAAGGGTAGATGAAATATCTCCACTGCAATTGAAGGCGTAAGCATGCCTGAGGAAACAACAAGGGGAGTGGGATGCTGGAATGGTACTAGGCTGGGAAAGGTGGGAGTTAACAGTGTCCTGCACTGTTAAATGACCAAACTTGATGGAAGTTGCCTGCTCTGATAGCTGTGTGTTGCCATACTTTTAATCCCCCTCCGCCTTTGCCCCTTCTGTGAAACTGCAACCCCCACTTTATGAAACATGTCTGTATTCTTAGGTGCTCACATCCATACAGGTGTTCAGATGCATCAATTATGTTTAAATCCCCACCCTATGAATGTTTAAAGAATGTTTACCTGTCTGCTTGGGTCTTGCCCTTAGCTGTTTCAGGTTATTTGGGCAGGTGGCTTCATGGCTGACTCCATGAATGCAGATATGCTTTGGCAGTGACACAAGCCAAAAGCTTTTTGAAGTAGTGAGGAAAGGTAGCTTGCAATGCAGATTAGATGCAGTGCCTTTGGGCCTGAGCTGGAGGAGGCAGGAAAACCTCAGTTACACATGAGTTATTACTAACCATATTATGAGTTATTATAAGCATAACTTGGTGATGTCAGAGCCTTACGCATGAACAGCATACAGCCACATTTTTATCATGTTCTTTTATAATTGCACCTAAACAATCCCAATGGTATGTGCAAAAGCCTGCAGCTGAACAGGTAATCAGAGACGTATTTTCTTGATAGACACCTCAAGGTTTGTATGCATCAGCTCATAAGGAGAGAAAATTAAGTTTATACCATCTGCTTCATGTAGGGTGGGAATCTCTGCCAGGAGGCAGAGCTGACCCGTCTTGGTTCTACATGTCCTTGTGGAACAGCACCTCAGCCTTCTTCCACCATTTCCCTTCATTTGTTGAGCAGGCGGTAGGGTCCTGAAGCAGGAAAGGGGCTGCAGTGCTGCCGTGGGAGTGAGAAGGGGTGAGTGTCTCTGCAAAGCTGTCAGGCTCGAAAGGGCCACAGCACAGGGAGCTGTTTGCAGGCACAGCCTCGCACCCGTGCCCGCTCCCCCGTCACCCTGTGTTGTGGGATTAAATGCACCGAGTGCATCCCTTGTCTCATGGAACAACACCATCATCTCATCAGAACAGGCAGAATGGGTTAGGGGGGCAGGAAGGGACAGCGATTTTGTGGAATGCAAAATGTGTGGCCTCATCAGCCAATTGCAGCCCATGACTTTGGGGTGTTTGAGCAAGAGGAACAGAATAAGGCAGAAGAAGCACAAAGTAAGTCATTTTTAAGTGGTGTATTTAGAAAAAGCTACAACTTGTGCATCAGCACTTAGGACTCGCTGTGATCCTTCCAGTCCTGAAGCGATAAGCACCAGATGCTCAGAAATGAAGTGCAAGCAACCTCCTAGCAGGAGATGGGGGTAATGCAGCCCTCGGCAATGGCCAGCGTTGGCACTGTGACCAGCCTTGGTGCAGAGAAAGCCCTGAGCCTGGACTGCAGGGGCTTGGCTGATGCAGGAGGCCAGCCAGGGCTCAGTCCTATGGCAAGAGTGATGGATAGCTGCTGACAGTCGCTGGCACTGGCTCTTTCACCCTGGCTCTCAGCAAAAGCTGTTGCAGAGCTGTGAGGAGGTGATGCGGCACTAAGAGGATGCAGACTCTGGGTGAGGTTGCAGAGATGTAAATAGACATCTGTCCAAGTGCATTGCAGGATGGCCAAGGGACGAGGAAGGATGACTGGGGAATGAGTCAACGTGGAAATTGAATTGTCTGCCATAGGTGTCTCCAAAGCACATATTATATGGTGCAGTAAACAGTCTACAGGCCAGGAGCAAAGACAGGAGGTTTAACTGGGCCAGGACAGTGCTGGGAGCTGAGGGCCACAGCCTCTGAAACAGAGACTACAGGAGGCAGTGACTGTCAGAGACTGTCTGCCACCCCCAAGCTTCTACCAACACGCTCACCCTCTAATTTGGGGAAGAAGATGACAATCTGTCACACCCCCTGCAGCAGCTGCAGGCAGTGTCAGTAGGAGTGACTAAGGAGCACACAGAGCTGTGGCCACCCAAGAAAGACCTGAGCACGCCCTGGCATTTAGTGCTCCTGCTCCCACTGCTCATTGCCTCCCTGTGCATGGCTCTGTGCATGACTCCAGGACAAATTCCTGCTGCAACAATTGCCACGTCTGGCTCTGCAGCATGGGAGTGGCAGACACAAGCAGGTAGCACAGATGCCATCAAGGACCTGTGGTGATGGCATCCTCACCCATGTTACTCTGAGAGGTGTTTGGTCACAAAGGATGAGGTTCAGACTTAATGACATGGGGTTCAGACTATTAATGACAAGCCCTGAGAGAGCCCTAGGAACTCACTGCCATGTCTGTGTTCAAGGCAGGGAAGTTCAGGTCACCTGCCATGGTGTCTGACTTCATTCTGTCTTCTTACACAGTCAGTGGTGAGAAGTAAACACTTTCTCTAGGCATCTTATATACCATGTGGGTTTTTTTTCTTCATGGCTTGGATTTGTTAGTTCAGAGAAACTGAATTAAGGTGCCACAGCAGGTGCTTAAATGAACCACTGTAGGAGGTGAGAACATGGCCCTAAATCAAGCCATCTATTGGTCTTAAAAATCTCTTCTAGAAGGAAAACCACAATTTAGTAGCTTGATGCAAGATGGCTGGTGAGATTCTGGAGGTTGTGTTGTGCTGTGGACCAGACTGGAAAGATACAAGCATCCCTTGCAGCCTAAACCTGTGTTTGGTAGGGCAGCTAAGTAGAGCATACACTCCTCTGAAGCACTGCAAGGAAAATAAGGAGAGAGTTCAGGATGTGGTCTGAGGAATGGCAGGTAGGAGTAGTCATAATGGAAAATACACTTCAAGGCCCACTTTACACGTTGCTTTCTAGGAAGGAAAATTGCATTCAGTAACTCTTCTCTCTGCTATTTCAGATAGACGATCCAGAAAATGACCTGCATGAGATGGTGCATGAAGCCAATATTGTTGGCACTGTGGCCAACCTTGGTGCAAATCAAGCCCTGACCTCAGACTATGTGGGTTCTGGTTATGAGAGAGGGCTGCTCAATCCCAGCTTGATCAATGAGGAGGATTTCCAGGTGGCCACTTACACACTGACGAACGCCGTGCCTCTGAGCCCTTCTCTGAGCAGAAGCTGGCACAGAGATATTGGGGGGGTAGTGGAGCAAGCTCTGGTCCCTCACTGTTCCAAGAAGGATCAGCTGTATCTCCTTGCAGGTGCAATTCCGTCCAGTATCCGAGTTAAAGGCAAGGTGTCAGTGCCAGAGACCCTCTGGCTGGCAGCCTGCTGTGATGCTCCAGAGGGGTGGTCCCTAGGACTAGTGAAAAACATAAATGATGAAAACAGCTTGGTGGACCTCACGGTGGGAGAACTGGAGAAGCAGCTTCTAGCAGGAGTTCACTTGTTCAAGGGCAAATGTGGGGAAGACAGCCAAAGCCACGGGAAAACAGAAGCAATACTGCAAGCTGTCAGTCAGATCCGCTCTGGAGAGCAAGTAGGAACAAGCGACAACCAGGAGGCCAAAGACAGCGGCTTGGTGAGAAAAGTGGCTGGCATCATTGCTACCCCTTTCATCAAAATTCTGGAACTCCTCATCTACGTGTTTGTGGAGCTGGTGAAATTTGTGTTTTATTTTCTGTGGCTTGTAATCAAGCGGGTTGGTGGTACAGTTCTGGATGGAGTCTGTAGCCTGTGGAACAGTGTGGTGTCCTACGTTAAAGCCATCAGCATGGTGCTCATCAGCATCCCCTATGATGTGGGGAGGGTCATCGTCAACATCTTCCTGGGCTTCCTGCAAATTGTTCAAGATGTGGCATCCCTCACCTACAGGATTCTGCGCATCCCTGTGGGGTTTGTCCTTCACCTCGCTGCTTTCCCTTACCACTCCATCTGTGCCATTCCCTCTGTCCTCAGAGACGTGGCCACTGGGATCGGGGGCACCTTCTCGCTGGTCATCGATGCCACAGCTGCACTTCTGCATGGCTTTTGTTACCTGGCTGGTCACATAGTCAAACGGTTTGTCCCTAAAGGCTCCTCTGATGACTGATAGGGATGGAAACTAAGGCTGCAAAGACACGGAGTGAAGGAGGAGCGGGACAATGCTTTAAAATACATGGCCAAATGCTGTCAATTTTGTTCCGGTATTTATTGTAATGACATTAATAGTAATGAATCAACAGGGGAGTAAGAGGGAGGGCTGAGGTAACGTTGTCAGGGGCTACCACCATTGTAACTTAAGTTCTGTGTGTTGTAAAGTGTTCAGGTTTTAACGGTGCAGGCCACAAAATTTCTGTGATTTGCAGCTATCAAGGTCCTGCCTCTGGGAGAGGTGCCCTAAATGTGGTACAAGGTTATTTCTTTCCAGCTATGATAACACTGAGACCTATGCACTGGCCGTGAGTTCTGCAGAAGCTCATCCCTGCCAAGGAAGAGGTGGCGGTCAGGGTAGGATTTTAGTTACAAAAGGTTTTGTGAGACCTGGAGAAAGTAGAAGGAGGAGTGGGTGCAAATATTTGGGGTTGGGAAACAGCGGGGAGTGGGACAGGATGGGGGCAAGGTCCTGCTGTTGGCTGCACTGCTCATTGCACTGGGCTCCCACTGGTGCAGGGGATGTGATCGAGTGTACCTGGTAGTCCTCAGGCCTTTCCAGGCAGCTGGAATTGTGCAGATCTTGCTTTGAGGAAAGACCCGCTGCCCCTTCTTTTGCTTTGTGGAAAAATATTTTCCCTTAGCCATACCAAGGTCATCTTCCCCCAACCTTTTCTTGCTCTCTGGTGACCACTGAAGGTCTAAGCCCTGAAGCTTCAAGATGTGGCATTCCCTGAAGGTCTAAGCCCCTGAATGTCTCAGCCCTGAAACCCTTGTTCCTGCTCTGAAGCCCAGCAGCACCCAGGAGTCACACTTTTGGCTTTTAATCATCTGCCATCCTGCTCTGCCTCCCTTGAGAGCTGACAGCTCCCCAAGCACCCAGCAATATTTATGTGCCTAAGGTTTCTACGAGACAATGTCTGGGCTGGTGATGGGTAGCACCACAGCCGTCCTTCTGAGGCTTGTTTTGAAAGCTCACCTCCCTGGGGAAAAATTGTGCTGCTGGGTTTCCCTCTAGGGCAAAAGAAAAGCAGCTCTGCCATTACCACTGCTCTGGGTTGATGGCAGGGATGTCCTTACAGAAAAGGGACACGGGAGAGGAGATGCATGGGGAGCATGGAGGGGATTGTGCTGCTTTCACACGGGGCGATTTCATGTTTTCATAGCCCCTACCTGGAGGCAGAGTCAGAGCTGGGCAGTTGCCAGCCCTGGGCAGGGCAGGTGGGTCCCCTCGGTGCTGTGCTGGGAGTGAAGCTGGCCCGAGGGATGTCAGGGAAGGTAGTCCTGCAACTGGGAGAGAAAAGGTAGAGGGGATAGGATACTTGTGGCAAGTTACTTGCACTTGGAGATCCTGGCAGCACTCATGGAAGAGGCCTCTGCCACCCACGAGAGGAAGAGGGGTTGCATGGCTGTTGCAACTGCAGGAACCAGCATGGCCAATCTCAACCTGAGCCCTAACAGCAAAGCTTTTGGCTGGGCATTTCCCCTCTTCAGGTGATTTTGGAAACCTGGAGGAGGGAAAAAGCAGTTGTGTTGCCGCTGTCTCCCATGGGGACTATGGATTGTCAGGTGAGAGGAGAGGCAGGAGGGGGATCTGGGGTGCAGCGCTCATTTTGCTGTGCAGATACCGACCTAGTGAGCCCATGCATAAGCAGACACGTTTATGTTGGAGGAGGACCCAACCGCTCTTCTGCACTGCTGGTTCTCTCTGCTTGCTCTTCACCCCTTCTCCCCACCACCATGAGCCAGGACCCCCAATATCTGGGACACTGGAGCCAGAGTGCATGTGAGGGCTTTGCAGGGGACCATCAGGGGTTTGCAGCTGGACGAGGGGCTGTTGTGGTTTAACCCCAGTCAGCAGCAAAGCCCCACACAGCTGCTCTCTCACTCCTCCCTGGTGGGATGGGGGAGAGAATCAGAAGAGTAAAAGTGGGAAAACTCATGGGTTGAGATAAAGACAGTTTAATAGGTAGAGCAAAAGCCACGTACGCAAATAAAGCAAAACTAGTAATTCCTTCACTACTTCCATTGTCAGGCAGGTGCTCAGTCACCTCCAGGAAAGCAGGGCTCCATCATGCATAACAGTCACTTGGGAAGACAAACGCCATCACTCCGAATGTCCCTCACTTCCTTCTTCTTCCCCCTGCTTTATATGCTGACCATGACATTATATGGTGTGGGATGTCCCTTGGGTCAGTTGGGGTCAGCTGTCCCAGCTGTGTCCTCTCTCAACTTCTTCTTCACCCCCAGCCTATTCACTGGTGGGGTGGGGTGAGAAGCAGAAAAGCTTGACTCTGTGTAAGCACTGCTCAGCAATAACTAAAACATCCTTGAATTATTAACAGTTTCCAGCACAAATACAGATCTTAGCCCCATACTACCTGCTATGAAGAAAATGAACTCTACCCTGACCAAAACCAGCACAGGGGCACAGGGACACCCGTTGCTGCTGGACGAGAGCACAGGGGTGCTGCACTTCCCTGGGGCTTGGCCCACGAGGAGCTTTGGATCTCCTGGTGCAATTGCCTGCAGGAGGGAGGCTCTCAGTCTCAGCAACGTTTGCTCTGGCTGGATTCCAGGAGTCATTTGGGAGTCCTACAAACACAGATCCTTCCCTTCACCCACACCTCTGTCCCTCCCTCCAGCGTCAGGTTGGTTGTGGACCCCTGATCTGCCACAGCATCCCATAAGGAATGCCAGGGGGGTGCAAGCTGGTGCTGCCATCCCCACGGGGAACCCAGCAGCACTGTGGTGGTGGTGGTGGCCAGTCCTGGGTTGAAGATAGCCCAATTAATCAACAAGGTAACTTTGCCTCTCTGCCTCATGCTGCCTGCAACAAGGCTGAGCTGGGGGCGGGGAGGGATGGATTTGGAGGTTTGAGGGGATTTGAATGATTCATGGCGGTGACATAGTGTTGCTTTCTTGGCTCAGGGGCTGTGTTCAACGCAACCGGCAGTGCGTTCACATCCCAGACCAGCACACCCTGACCAGGTGGCACCCCATTCAGCAATGAAGCTAGTGGCATTGGCGATGCCAGTGATGGGGATGAAGTGAGGAGGTGCTGAGATGAGCAGGGAGAGAGGGTGACTCCTTGTCTCACACTTTGCAGGCCACGGCTGGTTTGTGGAGAAAGAGAGGCCACCTGCAAGTAGCGCTGACTTTGTTCAAAAGGAAAGGCAGCTTTTGTGTGTCAGTATGGGTATAGCTGGGTGAAGTCAGCGGTGTTTTGCAAGTCCCTCCTTCACCTTGGAGCTGTTGGTTTGGGGATTTCGGGTACAAGGGGGAAGGTCCACATTGCTGCTCCCAGCAGGCAGACAGCCTACGGATGCTCTCCAAACCAAACTTTGCATCTCTGCCTACTTGAATGTGCCTTCCCTGCTGCAGAGCCAGATGTGGAGCTGGTTTCCCACTCCTTCATGAGACCCTGTCCCAACCCCAGCACTCCTCTTGGACTACATGGCAGTTTTCAAGGCAGGAAAGCAGCCAGCTCAGGTCTCAGGAGATGCCAGGGTGGGGTGACAGGGGCACCCGCCTGTGGCACCCAGGGTCCCCATCAGCCTCCAAAGGCACGTGTGGTGGCAGAAGCTCTCAAGTGCAGCCCAAGCACTGGGGAGGAGGTATCTTATCTGTGCCCCACAGCTGCCCATCTTGTGCCTTCTGCGTGGCCATATCTCTGACCCATCTGAGCTGCGCAGTAGCTGGCAATGCTCTTCTCAGGGGTCCTGCACCCAGAGCAACTTCTCCACACCTTAACCCAGCAGCCCCCCCCATCGCAGCTCCACCAGCATCTGCAGTGCACCCCTGGCCACAGTGATGTAGGAGCTCATGTGCTGAGAGGCGGCAAAGCGGGGGCACCTCGGGAGGTCTGCCTTGCCACATCTCCATCACCATCGCTACCCAGCCCAGCTCGGGTCGGGCCAGCAGGTCTCCGTGCAGCAACTGCGTATTCTGACCACAAGTGGTCAGTCCTTGGAATCTAAGGGGCTGCAGCACTGTAGGATTTAGGCAGATGTGGAACAGTATTATTAAAATTGTCTTAACATGCTCAGATTTCAAACACAAAGAACCGCAACCGGCATGGGACATTTTCCTTCTGTGCTGCGTGTCTGAGCAGGCGATGGGAAGTCTGCCTCAAATGCTGAGCAATTATCACAGAACAAGCAACATCCTGCTACAAACTAACTATTGTTTGAGATTATTCTTATCTGGGCATGATTTATGGCTTCTGAGCTTTACTCTATCCTTGGAAACATATGTCTTAAAAAAAAATAAAAGTTACTTTTCCAAAGAGGGGCTGCTATTACATTTCTGTCACAGTTGCAAACGAGATAATGCAACCCAGGGTGCCCTGATGAATCAAGAAAGCACCAGCAGCACAGTTGTTCTTTGTTACGACTTGTCAGCTGATATTAATGGCCCTTTTGTGTTTTTAAAACACCTTTCTTCTCAAAGCACTTTAAAAGAGTCAATTCATGAGGTTGCAGAATATGTAGATAAAAGCTGGGGGTTTGCAGGCAGTGAATTTAGATCTGTGTGTGCCAGAAGAGAGGGAGAGGGGATGTTTTATTCTTGTGAGATGCACCTGAGGTACAGCACAACGGATAGTTTTGATACAGAAAAATCACATCACAAGAAGATGATTCTTCACAGCCGACAGGGATAAACTCCGTCTTGTGAGACGCTGTTCCCTTGATCCTTTTTATCACAACTTCTAAAGAAGGAGAACAAGCTCTCCCTAAAAGTGGCTGTTTTCGTCCACTGACAGTGTAGAGATCCTGGGATGAGTACACCAGCTATTGGCACCTGCATTTTGCAGGTACCTCTCCTTGGGCAGATGAAACCCTCCAGTGGACTCTATGTTCCTCTTAGGTCTGCAGGAACTGGTGAGACACTGAACAGGTTGCCCAGAGAAATTGTGGATGCTCTGTCACTGGAGGAGGTCGAGGCCAGGTTGGATGAGGCTTTGAGCAACCTGATCTAGTGAAAGATGTCCCTGCCTCATCCAGATCACCCAACGCTTCGACACAGGGGTCTCTGTGCACCTTGAGGTGACCCTTGTCTCTGCTGCATTCACCCCAGGGCTGGGCACCGATAATGGCAGAGGGACTCAGCAACGCCGGCAGCATGGCTCCTCGGTCTTGTCCCTGGGCTCAGGTCCTCTGGGTCACACCTCTGCTGCCATTGCACGTTTTGGAGGTGCTCACCTCTCCATCACCAGCTCTGCACCTCACTCTGGCCAGGGAGCTGCTCCAGTTTGGCGAGGAACTGAGTCATGCTTGTTCACAGGTTATCTCTCCAGCGTAGTCAGTGCCAGAAAATTGAAAAGGTATTGGAAAATAAGTATCAGTGTAACTTGATTGTCCGGGAAGGATTGCCTGGGAGCAAGGAGTGTGAGGAGTGTCCAGGGTGTGTGTGTTAGAGAGATTGTGATCCCATGGGATTGACATGGGATGATTTCTCTTTGCTGCACAGTCTCCCAGGCTGTTGGACTTCTGTTTGGGAGTGGATCTCACACTGGCTAACATCTGCCACTGATTTCCACAAAACTGATGTTTCCAGCCAAACAGAAAGGCCTGCAGACTTTCTAGTGGTCTTAGTGTTACAGCTGGCTGGAAAATCTCCAAGGAAATATATCCTGTCAGAATGGGTGATTTATCCAACAGGGTTTTTTTTCATGGCAATTTGACATTTTTAGCAGAAAAGATTTTTCAGATCCAGGCTGGAACAAGGACCAGAATCATCCAAGAGCAGTCTAGGGTCTGGATTAGAGGTTTGGATGTGGACATTCAGCACCCCCTCCTGCCTAAATTCAGGCCTGGCATGTGAATGTGGTTGTCTCCATCTCAGAGGAATGTCCTTACAGCCATGGCTTATCATTTTCTCCTATTTCTAAGGGTGAAAAAAACTGTTTCCTTTCCAAAAATACTGAAATTGTGACCATTTTCTTGGGAGGTAGAAGCCATTTTACACTAAACCAGCATCAAAGTTGGCTGCACATCTGAAGCAGCAGCTTCAAATTCCTTTGCAGTATCATCTTTATTAATAACTTGATGTTTTAAACTGATTTAGCATGGTGGAGAATGGACATCTGGAGCAGATGTCACTGTGTGTTTACTGCTGTGATGTTTCAGATTTTGTCAAACCTCCCAGTGTCTGCTGGTGGAAGATGATTATGGACCAAAGCCCAGAGCTGCAGGAGGTGGGCAGGATGATGCTAGTGGGCAGGGAAAGAACCATGGGAGCTCCTCACTGGTGGGAGAAGAGCAGCAGATGGATGGGATGTTTCAGACTAGATTTAAGGAAGAATTGTTTTGACAATGAGGGTGGTGAAACACTGGCACAGGTTGCCCAGAGAGGTGGTAGATGCCCCATCCCTGGAAACATTCAAGATCAGGTTAGCTGGGACTCTGAGCAACCTGATCAGGTTGAAGATGTCCCTGCTCATTGCAGGGGAGTTGGACTAGGTATTTGTTAAAGGTCCCTTCCAACCCAAACCATTCCATGGTTCTGTGACTCTATGAAACAAAGTGGCTGGTAGCCAAATAACGACCAGTAATGGCTGAGAAGTGGTCTCTGCTTGGTTCTGACACCAACAAGCTGCTGAGGTCGGTGGAGCAGCTCCAGAGGGACAGTATGATAGACTGAGGGAGACATCACTATCTGGATTGATGCCACCCAAGTGTGGGCATTTAAAATCTCTTCTCTGCAGGCACTGGACTGCCTCCATTTAGTATAAATATCTCACTAGGATTTCACCTGGACACCTCAGCGGGACGAGTAAAGCTGGGGCCAATGAAGCTTAGTTGGGGTTGGTGGCTGATGGGGCTTGTCCCACTCATGGAGACCTTGAAGTTGTCCACTGACATGGGTCACCCAGATGATTGCACAGGTGGGATGGTCTTTCCCCCAGTCCCTTGGAAGGCTCTTGGGTCACTAAGTCCTTCCACGTGGGTAGGAATGGTACCTGGGGCTGATGCCTCCCAAGTGCTGCTGGAAATGACCCCCAGCTCTTCCAGCCACATTTGGGCTGTGGCAGGGATTTGTGTGTGGTCCCACTGCAACAGATGATATTAATGACTATGTGTTCCTCAAGCCCTACGAGTTGGCCTGACCTGTGTGGAGTGAGCCCATCCACCAAAGAACTGGCACACGAATTTTTGGGTCCACAGAAAACATGCATATTTGTGGGGTGACTGAGTGCATCCTTCACCCTCAGGCATCTACAGGATGTAACTGTACAAGCTTTGCACTGCAGGTGATAGCCTGCACTTGAAAAAAACACTGCTTTCTGCAAAACTGAGGTGAGTTATTTGATGTGGAGCAAAGGGGTTGCCTGCGTGAGATCACAGAGCCCAGTGGCTGCAGAAGAGGTTTGAATGGTAACAGTTAGTGTCCTGGTGTCAGAGAGGTGCAAATGATCTCTGAGGCTCATCGTCCCATCAGTGGACAGTTAAGGAGAAAGGGTGACAACTCAGCTGCTGGATGTCATTAAGGACTAGGGGACAGGGGCTTGGGCTCCAGCAATGGAAGATAGTTTTGTCTCTTCCCAGATCCTGTAATGCCACAGATCATCC